CGACCGACTCAGTTCTCGCTTTCTGCGTAAATAAGCGAAAGCCTGATACCACAGAGTTACCTAACGTAGTAGTATGGCATTGTAAGGTCCTTGTGCGGTTAATCAGGCATGAATGGAAGCTTATACCTAACGTGACGTAGCACCTATGGACTACGTCAGCTTCCACAGCCATGCACTCCACAAGTGTGGTTCCGTCTGTATCTACTAAAAAGCCACCGTCATATTGCGACAAAAGCTATACCAACACATCGGTTGAATTTTTCCCGTCGCCGTGAGGTTCTGTATAATGTCCAAGGGCAATCGTGTCCACCCCCGTGTCGTACATGCTATGTGCGACCGAAAGCGAGCAAGGTATGTGCATTGTCAACATCTTGAAAACAGCGCGAAATCTCCACAACGCTGAACTCACAAATAAATGTCTATCTGAAACTCATGTATACGCTTAGGGTACAATTACGTATTGACAAGCTGTTCCCCATGTCACCACTTCACAAATGACGTCAGTAAGCACCATTATGAATACTAACAACCAATGCAATTAAAATGGCTACGACCTGCTCGTGAGTAGCTGCCGAGGTGATCACTATTGTACCGAGTGTTCTAAAAAAACAGTATAGTCAGTAAAACACAAAGCAGGGGTGGGAAAGATAATGTACGTTTCTCCCACCTTCCTATTGCGAAATGTCACAATTATTTCTCTGATTATCTTATTGGAGTGAACTGGTGGTCTCTCCATAGGTGTGCTTGTATCTCTGAACAAAAATTTTCTTTCGTGTATAGCACAGTGGTTCGTTCTTTCACCTTCTTCTGCCCGTGTCGCTTTCCTGCTCCTTTTAAAATGTTTCAATGATTACTAACTAGCCCACCTGTCGATTTGTTTACGGATGTATATTATCGCCTCAAGCCAAGCCAAAATCCTACATATATAGATTCAATTTATCTTTATTTGGTCATAGCTCTTTGGGGCGTAGTAGCCAACGCCGGCGTGGCCTGCTACGGCGAAACGGAGTGGATACGCTACAAGGAAATACAACGCGTCATCGATGTGAACATCCTCGGAACGCTCAAGTTCGTCCTCTTCGGTCTGCCGCACATCAAGAGCAGTCACGGCCGCATCGTTTTTATAACCGGATTGCAAGGCGAGCTGTTGTTTCATTTTATCCTGCCTTCCCGGTACCACTTCCTCTTCTATAAGCAGGGAATATGGGCTTATGTGCTAGTCGGTATGACATTTCTGACATTTTCTAGGCGCGTTAGCTGAAGAGTCGATTGTATAAGACAGAACAATGCGTTAAATTGAACAGACCAGAGTTCTATCGCATATTTCTTGCCTGCTTAGAACTTAAACAGAATTTTTTTTTTTTGGGGGGGGGGTCAACCATGGTTTATGTTTGTTCTTGCGTGCGTTCTTACGTCTACGGTTATGTATATGCAAGCAAAATTGGAAGTTTTCGGGAGGAGGAATTTGAACCACCCACCCCCTCAGTTATTTCTATGCTTGCCTGCTCCAAGGATAGCCTACTTTCCCTCAAAAATCTTTGAGTTTATTTAGCATTGAGCTTCGTCACCATCAGCGAAAAGTTGCAATAACCTGACGTATTTGTAAGGGGTCTCCACGAAATCCATGGCATAGCTCACATCGTGGATCACAAAAAAAAATGATATTACCAACTTATCAACACCACAACTTTGCTTACGTAAAGTAAACCAGCAAACGCGGGCACATTTCCATATGCTTAGGTCAACTTTCATTTCCATTTTAAGGTTAATCTGGTCAGCTAGAATCTCGCACGTACTACAACACAATATTTCTTGCATAGTTTTTTTTTCGATTGAAATTTGTAACTGTGAGAACGTTTTAATGTTCACTTGTTACATAACATTGATGTTACCCGTTTTGCTTTTTATAAAGTCATCTAAAGCGAGTACTTAAGCCCACGGCGCATTTTGTCAGCGCTTTCATCATCTTGTCCATTATGTACTCAGAGTGACTTTCCCCACCATCGCGTAAAGAACCCTCATAAAACATTTTTATGGCATCCTTATAGCTACCTTTCATAGTACCTTCATAGTAAGCCCGCGCTCATGATACAAAATGGTGGCCCTTTATTATTTGATCCCTTTTGTTTGTTTGTCTTTTCGCACAGGAGGCTTTGTTGCAGTGTTACACCCAATATTTTTTTTAGATTCAAGCAAATACGCAATTATTGCCTCAGTGCCGTTATCAGAAGCAGACTACTTCGGGTACCAAATAGGACGCAAATTTTCGTACTTTAAAACGTGGAACACGCCCCAGCTTTGCCTTCAGGGCGGAACGCGGTATAGCGTAATCGGGCCCCATGCATATCGCATCTTTCATTTCAGCCCCGACATCGGCTCTCAGTAAGTTCTTCAACTGTGCCGCCAGGAAACGAACTTCTGTGCTCGTAACAATTACTGGTTCAAACCGTCCTAGCCTGCTTACTTCTAGTAAACTTGCGAAGTGCCCACTTGGACATCATTCTTTTGCGAATCGGTGAAAGGCCCACTATACACATCTTACTTTCTTGATGATTGTGCTGCTGCTGATGATGATCAACCATTTCTGCGCACTTTCTGATGGGTCGACCTTTACAGCACCCACCTAGCTGTTACGCATTCCGCATGTTTTGACTCCTGGCACGATTTTACGCTGCTGCCTCACAATATTACACGCGTTGAGGAGACTCTTCTATATGATATTCATATAGTGCATTCTTTCTGTTGTTTTTTTTTTGTATGTTTGAAGCAGTTTTAAGCAACAGCATAGCTCTGGGGTAGAACACCTCCTTGTCACCTGCCTGGTTACGATGCTAACTCAAACTGGTGTTTTTATAATTTTATTTTATTGGCCTCTTTCTCAATTTTTTGCTCATGGAAAACGCTGATTTTTCGTTAACAGTCGCCGACGCCCACACCACAATTTCCGTGATGTTATGTTATCGCGTTAAAACATGAAACCGTTTCGTTTTGTTTTTTTCGCATACAGGCAGGCTCTCTCTTCCTGGAATGGTGATCGGGTCTGCGACCACCGCTGCCCTGTGCAGCTATGCGGATGGTCTGCGCCGAGAACTGGCCAAGTTCAACATTCAAGTGTGCACTGTGGAGCCAGCTTTTTACAAGTGCGTCTCCTCCAGCATATTTTTATTTTCTTTTTTCAATGAGAAGCACGTGTACCATAGTGACCACCTAAAACGTGGATTCGCTACTCACGAGAACTTTTACTGTTATCCAAGTGCCACTATTAATGCAAGCAATATGAAGAACAGTTCATGACTGTTTGCCGATATCTTCTGGTACCAAAACACCGAAACAGGCAGCATTTTGTTCGAGAAATTTAGAAGCTTAGAAGACACCTGCGGATTATTAGAAGGTTTCTAGAAACAAAATGGCAGAATAGCGCAAATAATGAAGTAGTAAAACCAAGAGGGACTCGGCAGTGTATCGATTGTGTTTCCGTATACTGACAGTGTGGCGTATTTTGTGCTGTTCCGACCATTATCATAATGAACCGACTAGTTCACCTATAACCCTTGTCTTAAGCTAATTTGGACAGTCTATACTGTGGTGATAAGTATTACACACGAAAAACACAGGTGCAGTGAAGTACTTCCAAGGTATCTTGATACAACCAGCAGCCATTACTTCACCCAAGAAGCCGAGTATCACTCCGTAAGTTGGTAAAGTTTTCCTTCAGAACCCTTCAATTCAGGCTGGTGATCTGGCCATCAATTTGTCTTTTTTTTTTATTGTGAGCGTATTCTTGCGTGGAATCATCCCCCACTCACGGTAACTTAAATATTACACATCACAATTCACCTTGTAGCTCTACGAATAAAAATACACACAAGTGAGCTCGACTATCGTCTACGTAACAACTGCAGTCTACAACTCCATCTATTTTGCAGCTAGGAACCACGTCAGCGCTATAGCGCGAAACCCTGGTCATGCAGTTCGCATTACATTTGCAACAACACGGGAAGAACAGTATACTCTAACTAAGAAAGCGTACTACTATTGCACTTCGTTTAACTTTAGGAAATTGTCTTACTCCTCAAAGGCGAGAACTTTACTGATGGTCGCTAAAGCGAGCTATCGACCTTGCTACAAACACAGGGGTGTAGCAAATGCTTGATTGTACATACTGTTTTTTCAGATGGTCTTCGATTGAAATGTCCCTCCGCTCATTGCACTTGTTTCGTCGTAGCACTTCGAATATCACAACCACACATGCCACCGATCAATGGTGTCCTTTGTACTGAATGCTTCCCAATGTTCCTCTCTTCAAAAAAGTTTCAGGTCTCATCACACTCATTCTTTCCTTCTCATCCCCCGCGTCCACATTTGCAGGACCCAAATGACCGACCCCACGGAAGTCACTCAGGCCCTCAATGACGTCACTCACAAGCTGCCCAACCTGGTCAAGGAGGAGTACGGATGTTCCTACCTGGACAACTTCACGTTCACCTTTGCCAAGAGGCTGAAACGATTCTCGCGTCAGAACTTCGACGAGATCTCCGCGGCCGTCGCCAAGGCTCTGCTGTGCAACGAGACCAACGTGCGCTACCGGTGCTGCGGGATGCGCCAGTCTCTCACCTGGACCGTGCTCGAGTTCTTGCCGCTGAAGATATGCGACTTCTTCCTCATCCTGCAGTTCACCCCCAGAGCGGCGCTCGCTGGCAACATCCGGGTGAGGAACATCATCGTCCAGCCGCTGCCCAACGATGATCCGGCTGTGACGACCAGCGATAACAAACCGCTGGACCACATGGAGACCGTGCAGCCCACCTTCCAGACACCGCCGATCATAAAGCCTCAATACCGCTTTTAGAAGCACGTGCGTTGGCCGAGTTTTGGTATTCGGTGGTCGCACAATCACTTCACAATTCGTATTCTTGGATGGCATTGAAGGACCTCATCGAGCGCATGGCACCCGAAGGCTAAGGTGCACTACATGTAGGAATGTCCAGGAGCAACGGTGATCGAAGATAATGTCCCAAGATTGTTCTGAGAAAGTCCCTGAACGTTTGTAGTTTCTGGTGGGTGATGTGGAAATTCTTTGAATTCAGTGCGTGTGCGTAGTTTCTGGAAACGATAAAGAAAAATTTTGACGTACGATTAGCCACAGCAGGTTTTTCTGGCACAAAAGTGTGAGTGTAAGCCAGTTAGGGACCCCTAACTAGTAAAGGTAACCACGAAGCCATACACGGCACACAAAATGATCGCTTCATGTCTCTTACTGTGCCCCGGGTGGTTCTGCGATTATCTTAATGAAACATAATGAAACTTAACCTCAGACCATGCAGAAAAAAATTATTAGACATGTCGCTAATTTAGATTATCTGTCATCAACACAACTTGTGTGTCGAGACTACGGTATTATTAAAGTGGAATATATGTATATCTTTCGCATTCTGCGATCCTACTATTTCTCTTCCATTTCGTTTAAACAATTCATTAAAGATACCGCATGTCTAACTTCAAAAAATGTTTTGTTGGGAACAAGAAGCAGTGATGTTTGGATTGTTCCGAGGTTTCGCAATAATTACAAATCTCAAACATTGCAATACAATTTACCAATTATTCTCAATAAATACAGTCACGTAAACAGTTTCTCATTAAAAGAACTAAGATCTTTTTTTGTAAATATGGGCTAACTTTTTCACGTTGTAAATTGTGCTGTCTGTACGATAGTACAATTTCATTTTTCTTTCAGTGTGTGCATCCATGCTGTACCGTATAGGTTACATGATATAATTCTGTCTGTATATATTTGTTTGTCTGACATGTGACGTACATTGTATGATGCAGCACATACACAAGGAGCAAATTTGTATATATCTTTCCTGATATTGTAATCATTTATTCATTTTTATTTTATTTTTTGGCAATAATGGTGTTATGGTTGCTGTTTTTTACTTTTGTTTTTTCTTTGTTTTTTTTGCTCGCGTCTATGTAACCTTCTGTGCGATGCTGTTATCAGGATGTTTCGTAGGAATATATATATATACGTTATTATTACACCGTATTTGGTATTGTAATGTTAGCTTATGGTCTTTATTGTTATACACATCTTTGTCATTGTCTCACCTGCCTTGTATAGGGTTCACTGGCCTCGTCAAGCTGTCCATAAACAGCTTTTAGCCAGTGAACCTCTCCAGAACCTGTTTTTTTCTGGGAAAAGAAAAGGATTTGATTTGATTCGATCTTCGCGAGTCAGCGAGTTTACCGCCATCTCAATTCATTTATTTTTTTCATTTTACTCGTTATAACGAGATGCAGAACAAAGTGAGATTTCTTTAAGCCTAATGAAGATACGTTAATGTGGTTTTAGTCTCCATAGTTCTCGTCTGTATCACAAGTAAGCAGGAGTGTATTACTTCATTCCAGACATTGCTGTGACACAGCCCTTCAAAACGCTTAGATTTCCCGCCAAAGTTGTAACTTGCTTGCCACAGCATAAAAGATTCTTCAGCAAAGCTACATCTCAGAATTGGCGAAAAGTGTTTCAAACTTTCAAAAAAGATTGTTATAGTGATTGAATTATAAGAAAACGTTTTGGACAGCACTGGAAAACACATGACAAGAAGAGAGCTTAACTTCACAATTGCATTTTTCATACGTTAACTATTTGTTGATAAGATATGCCAGATAAAACAAACTTACTATGGTGCCATTCTTCTGCAATGTTCAGCTGATGTGATACCTGGCTATTCCAACTGCTTTATTTGCAGCATTGCAAGAAAAATAAAAGATACATTGCTTAGTGAGAAGCAGTAGATTTACTCGGGACACACAGTTTGCAGCCGATGTGTACTGGTGCCACTTCCCTTGATTTAATTGGCCAGCTTATTGCCACAACCGTATTTTAGCACAAAGCGTTATTCAAATTTGAAAATTATTTGAAATAAAACGTGTCACCGTTGTGAGTCGTGGGAATCTCAGAGTTCCATTTCATCGTCGTCGCCTATGCATTCGTCGTGAGGTTGAAGAACCAGGTCCCCTGGGACAAGCGGCATTCCTTTGCGTCCTCCCCTGCAAAACTTCCACGTCTCGGTGCGTCTCGTCCTGTGAATTGGGTGGCAGAACAAAGAAACCTTTATCAGAGCGCGAGCGGGCGAGTTGAGTTTCGCAACTCCACGATGATCCCCTCGGTTGAGAACTTTGCCTGCCTTACTCTTACTCGGTGGGCCATCGTGAAGTTGCTGCACTTAGCTGCAGTGCATGAATTCAGCATTCATGCTTAATGTTGTTTTGTCTGTGATTTTTATTCTCATGTCTTTAGTTCATTTCCCATCTTATTATGCCCATATTCGTGTCCTAATTCTATCCCTTCTTGATAAAGTAGGCGGACGTTACGCTCCTACTGATGGCAGTTGTCTGCCTGCTCACTCCGTATCTCGTTCGTTTTCTTCTCATCATCATCATCATCATCATCATCATCATCATCATCATCATCACCTGCCTGACGACGACCATTGCAGGGCGAATTCCTCTCCCGTGTTTCGCCAATAATCCCGGTTCTTTGCTTCTTCTCACCTGTCCACGGGACTTTTTGTCTCCCCTACACATGTTTGCCTTTTCTTGGCATCCATTCAGTTACTCTTATTGAGCAGCGGTTATCATGCCCGCGCGCTGCATGCCCTGTCAATGGTCATTTCCTCTTATTTATTTCAAATAGGATGTCCTTCGCATCCGTTGGTTTTATTATATATCATTGTTTGTTTGCGATTTTCTTCACATCCCTTTGTTATCGCATATATCGATGTGTGCGAGGAACATCATTCGGGATGATGATGATGATGATGTTGATGATGATGATGATGATGATGATGATGATGATTATGATGATGATGATGATGATGATGATGATGATGATGACGACGACGACGACGACGATGCGGCGGCGGCGGTGGCTTAAAAGTATGGCTTACACCCATTATGGGGGATTGGCCAAGAAACAAATGCCTAGATAGAAGGAATCATCTATTGATTGTATATTGATTGAAATTATAAAATGGGTAAAATAAATTACTTTTACGGCCATCTGCTTCTTTTTCCTCGTAGTCGATTGCCTTGGTCACTCCGAAACCATTTTCCCCCTAGATGGGCCCATCCAAGATCAAGCTACGTTCTCACGTGGTGACGTCATGATGTAACTTCCCGTTACGTAGCGTCATGATGACACAGTGACCTCACATTGTGTGTTGCCATGCGATTACGCCAACGCACTACATCATCGCTTGGTACATGTAGGCCGATGTCACAATGATGCCAGAAATTGTGGTGATCTGTGCCGTAGTGTCATGACGTCATCACTGGATTTTGTGCACTCCTTCCTGTTGACACCGACGTTGACGATCAATTTTCGCGTTTAACAGAGAATCAGGTTTTCCCATAACAATAATCTGGCCGACTGAGTTGTTCGCCTACTTTAGCCAAAGATCTTTGGTGGGGTAGTTGGTTTATCATGCTAAGCTTGAACAGCATGACTGAACATGGAAAGAGAACACGAACACACGCACACAGTGTCCGAAAGCTGAGCTTCATAGGTGCGAATCTGATGTCGGGAACGTCCTGCCTGCACGCCCGTCCTTCAGGCAAAAAACTTTCGTTGGCTAGTGCCGTTCCGTATATGAAAGAAAGTTCTCTGTCAGCACTGAGTACGTTCATGTTCTCTGTACGAGTTCAGCTGCGCTGTTCAAGCTCCCCTTATTTACATCTTGCCTGTTTGTCTCATATTCTGCCTACACAGCAAGAAACGCATCCATTGCCAACGCATTCAACTGAAAATTGTTAAGACATCATCGTAATCATCATCATGTATCACACTCAGTAATGAGGTCAAATAATGAAGGGTGCACGCAGTCTCGCCTTTTCGAGAGCACGTGCATATCTAGCGGCCTAATCTTGAAGTAGAGGATTCGGGGCACAGGTCCCGTTCTTTCGCTGTCTCCTCGTCGACCAGCGAGTGTGTTCCAGTGGAATGTGACATTTTGCACGTCAAACAGTCTCTTCTTTGTCGTTAGCAGAGAGGTGTATTTCACGCCGGGCTTCTTGCTGTATGGACTGCAAAAAAATAATAACAAAAGTTTTGGGGTCACGTACGCAGTTCCGGTAATAGAAACACGCTGGAAATCATTGCACAATGAAGGAACACGCACACACGCTCATGGGCCTAATTTGTATATTTCATTTCGGGATATCAACTCTTTGATTACAAAAAAGTCAGCATCAAGCCCTTTAAAATAAAAAGAACAGTTTGTAAGCCAGCAAAAGAAGTAAGCATTATAAATACAACTTTAAGGTAGTCATTATGTGCACAGTGCCCACTCGACACAAAGGAAGGGGGAAATATGACGCAGTATAAGGGCATAAAGCGTAGAATTGAGCACGTGAGAACCTCGTCACTAACAGTAATCTACGCTTAAAAACGGGTTTTTATTATTTCGGTACGATGTAACATTTGTTGGGTTTTGACGTCCCAACTTTCTTCTTTTGTTCCTGTTACCAAACTTTACTGCTCAAGAATAAAGTCTCTTCTAATTTTAAAGACAAGAATCAATCATGGCGTACGGAAAGAGGAAGACAAAGATCAAGTCAAAGGCGTAATGTTAATAACGCAGCGTTTTGCACGTGTTGATATGTCATACTGTAGTTTTATTGTGCACGTGAAAACACGGACAGGGAAAGAAAGACGTGACAGAGGCCCCAACTTGCAACTAAGTTTATTCAGAAAACAGTGAACTACGTAAGGAATAAATAAAATAAATAGGCAATATCTCTTCGCAACCATCATGATTATGCGTACTTTGCCAATCCACCTATTTTTGCATAGATGAGCTAACTGCATAGACGGGAGAGCAATCGGCAGTTTAGAAATTGAGTCATCTACCAGCCTATCAATCTCTTCAGTCTCGGTAACTTCGTGCATCAGCCGATCTTTGCCGGTACTGATAACTCAACTTTCATAAAAATGGGCATGCACATGGTATCAAATTCGTCCCTTCCTCTGGCACCTGAATTACAGCAATGTTTCGGTTATTCGATGCTCACTGAATTAAATGAATGGCATGCAAAATGCTTCCATGGAATCAATGATAACAAAAAATAGGGAGCGTGTCACTCAAAGTGCTGGCATTTTCAACATCAACAAAGTCCAGGCTCAGGAAAATCGAGTGAGTGCGGTACGCCACAACTTCTCACAAATATCACGTTTTCAAACATGTAGACAAGTGGTTTCGAAAAATGTCACACTATGTTTTGCCCTCCACAAACGTGTCAGCATAAAAGAATCACCCCAACGTATTTCAAGAGGTACTTGTGGACATTGTGAACAACGTGCAAGGCGTCATTGCGAACACAGTGGCTTAACCGGCGGTACCTTTTGTGCATCCTGATGGCAATATTCTGGTCCACACCTGGCAGCGTCAACTGGACGTCGCCAAAGAGATCCCATAGTGGCACAGACTTTGTGGTCTTGACGATTATTTGGTACTGAAACACTTGGAACATCAATAAAATGAAACGCAGTCAGACAAACACCCCACGCGCTTTTCCCCATGAAACAGTCAGTCCTCTTCAGAAGAAACGCAAAATCTTTTAGGCTTCACTGATGCACGCTATGTTTCCTTGTATTTGCTTAACTCAAAAGAGAACTGCTGTGTTGATACGATTACAATTTATTCACTAATTTGTGTAGCTTCTTTTGTAACTACCGTGACGAACAGTCTGAAACCCACCGTAGAGCAAGTTTTGGACCGCTATGCGGCTTCGGAAGTGAGGCGTCTGTGCTCAGTTATAAATATAACTTATCGGTATAAACTATTGTGATCACAGTTGACAAGTTTTAAGGACAACTTTCTAAGTGCATTGCAGTTTGATATGATTATGACAATTATAACTAGTAACAAATCTTGGTAAACCATAAAGTGTATCCTCGCCATCGCTTACCAACAATTGCATTGGCGTAAAATTCACTGTTCTTTGCACGTTCAACGCTTCGGAAATCTTTCTGACTATTTAAGAAATTTAGTTCATTCTAAGTGTCTGTTCTTTCTATCTCATTTTTGCACTGTAGGCAATGCCACGTATATTACAGCACCTTTCTTCGGGTTGAGTTAAATTAAAACTCAAGTTTGTTTTTTTTTTGTTTTTTATTCTGCAACAAGACGGGTAAAATATATACGTGAATATCTTGAGGGGTCCTGGTTCCTTAGTTAAGTCAGCAGAAAAGCATGCGGCTAAAGATTGCCCACTACGAGAAAGATGAGTGGATCGCAAAGGGTTGCTACAAAAAGATGCGATTCAATGAAGACATCATCATCATCATTGTCATCGTCAGACTGACCACGCCCACTGCAGGTCAATGAAGGCATAAAGAGATTTTAAAAAGTTATTCACCATAGCACATTACAATATAAATAATAAACACTGTTCTCTTGGTTATGTACTTGGTGTGCCAATGCTGTCTTTTTTTGATGGGTTGTTCAGAAATGTAGGCAATTGACATTTAGCGTTTCATTTTTGCATCTGCTTCTGCATTTCGACACATACCAAATTTTCGGATGGTGTACGTTACAACTGCGGAGATTCTCTCTACTTTTGCTTGGATTGTAATGACATAATCATTTGTAAATGCCCCGAGTTTGTATAAACGACAAAGATGTAATCGTGCAATGATTACCTTTTTCTGAGAAGCAAGTGTCCAATCTAGAAGTTCATCAAGAAACGCCAAGCTGACCCATTACAACAAAAAAAAAATGACAGCTCCATGACTTTGACATTCACTAGTTCTATCTACGCATTGAGAATACGCAGGTGATATAAATACTACCTCATAAACTTTTATATGAAGTGACTGCGTGTTACGGTTATGGACGAAAAGATTTTTTAGACATGCTACTTACTCATTCTTAGCCCTTTCTTACTTACTCATTCTTAGCCCATTCTTAGACATGCTACTTACTCATTCTTAGCCAGGAGTGAATCCGGGTGAGTAATATATGAGTAAGCTGAGTCTGCGTGAGTCCAGTTCAGGAACATTTACGTGAGTGCGAATCCAATTGAGTCCGGCTTAAGAAAGTTTTGGAGGGTGCAAGTCCGACTGAGCCGTGGGTACAAAATACAATTCTCGAATGAGTCTGAGTGATCTTCAGAAGTTCTGCCGACCTAAGGACATGTCATGAATGAACGAAAGAGCTTGCTTCAAAAGTATAACAAGGTCAACCTCCCAAGTACCTCCAGATCTCAGGAAATCGTATGGTCCTATGCATTTTCTTACACGGCAACGCTCAATTTAAAATTTTTTTCATGTTCCTTGATAACATTAACTTTACTTAATTGATAACTCCTAAATGGCTTGCATCACAATTCTTGTGTTCTAACTACCACATACCAAGATCATAAATTCTATTTGTTTTTGTGGCTTTGTGGGAGTACTTAGGTAAACTTAAGAACAGAAAACTGATCACCTCAGCACGCATAACAACTACTAATTTGACTGTAAATGCTAAGAATGTGAACGATTTCGGCAATCAGAGAGTGCCCTGCCCATTGCCACTGAAGACCTGCATCTCCCACCTCACAATAAATGATTTTCCATTCATCTATTCTGCCTTCATGCTCTTAAGGCATTTGTGACCTCGGTTCTATTCCCTTACACACTGTATAGGCGTCTGTGTACGCCACCACAATTCTATGCCCTTCAAAAAATAGCTCTCTCTCTCTCTAAGTATTGCGTAGAAAAGCAAATTTGCACTCGCATAACTCACGGCAATATGGCGGCTCAGGATTTGTTTTCAGGTAAAGCTTGAGAGAGTTTCCTTGGGCGCGCTCACTGCTTCTCCTCCGAGGTAGTCGGCGTGCCTTGTCAGCGAGAAAGCCCATGACGGCACATCGGCCCCGACGGGAGGCACAGCCTCCACAGCGGCCAGCAGTGAATTCTTCCCACGACCTGCATCGAGCCAAAGAGGAATTGCCTTGTCAGAACCTTGGATTCAACGACAGGTGGCGTTTCAAGAATTTTCTGTCTCTTCAACGTTCCAAAGTTCGCCTGAGATGCTGCCTCGTTTGAAACACCGGAAATTCAGTGACCAACAACGACATTACTTGGCCAGGGGTTTGTAATTAGTTGGCCAGGAGTCCCTCACAGAGGAAAAATAAGTTACGCAGGTCCAGAACGAACGTAGAGAAGTCCTTGCGCACACTCTTTGGCCAACTAAAGGCCAACTCCTGACCGTAAGTCTGCAATCTCACTTTTCAGTAGACTCCCTCAGGCTCCCTCAAATTCAGGAGCCATGCGTCAAAATCCGAGTGAGTGCGGGTGAGTAAACTTCTGTTGAATTTGAGTCTGCGTCAGTCTGGATCAGAAAAAATTATAGTGAGTCTGAGTCGAAGAAAGTGCCGTTGAGAAAAATATTCGTCAGTCTGAGTGAGCCTTAGGCACAGCATTTATATTTCTTGACTCGAGTGTGAGTTAGCTCCACTTTTTTTCTTTACAACCTATGCTCCTGACCAAGCATTCTCTCGGTTGGTGACAGAACGTTTGGTGTTACTGTCATAGCCAGAACTGCAAGGCAAAATTGGGACTTGATGACACGAAGATAAAATATATATCTGAAAACAATGGGCGTTGCTAGCGCCAATGTTTCAACAAGCAGTTCGACCTGTCATGGTTGTTGCATTCAAGAAGACAAAACGATCTGTGGAAACGTTCGCGACAGCGAAACACACTCTTTTCAAATTATTTCGTATCTGGTACGTCAGTGGTTTTCGAGAAAATTACTTCTAAGCTGCTAACATTACAAGTTGTTTACGGCAAATCCAGAGAACAGGCGTTATGCGGTGATACCAACAACGTGTAGAAACATTCCAAGTGCAAATTAAGAAAGCTCCAAATAATGCGATGTCTTATCATCGCCATGATTCACATAGTGAATACAACAGAAACTTCACAATATCCTTCTCTTCAAATTACACTCCCACTGTTTTCGATGGCCGATTGAAACGGGAAGCAAGAGGTGCGGAGCTGCTGGTGGTAAGAGCTACGTGAGTGTGAAAGCGTTCGCTGTGCATGGGGCTTTTCATTCTGTAACCAGACGTTCAGCCTGTGGTTCCCGGTGACACCGATGGAGCGCTGCAGTCATTAGTAACGTGCACCCATCAGCTTCAGCCAAATCGTGGAGCGTTGCACGTGAACGCAGTGTTCTGAAGCTACGGCAAGTAGTGCCACTATGGCACATACCGAAAACTGCACGCTGAACAGATGCCTGAATAATGCAGTCACCATGCGTCACGAACACTCTAGTTCTCCCCGTCATCCCCTTCCCTTTAAGCAGCCGTGCTGCGAATATAACGTTTCAGTTATCGAGAAATGTGCAATTGAAGCCATGGGAGGGAATCAAAAGAGAAATTTAAAAACCGTTCGGGTCGCGTCTTTCAAATCCAGAACTGCCTTTTCACCAAATATGGCGGTGATGGTGAAATATTGTTTCCCCACAGAAAATGGGCATTCACCCACCTTCTGGCTCGGTTGTTTTGTTACCTGCAAGCGACTCCTACTGGCAGACACAGCCTCCGATTGATGGTGGCGGTGAAGTAGTCCACAGATCTTTGGTGGTCGCAGGCTGCGAGGCGACGGACGCTCTCCAGCATGCCTTCCAGGAGGAGGCTGTTGATGTGCTGCATGCGGCATCCAGGCTGCTTGTTCCCGTTGTTCGGGTAGAAGTCCACGTGACCAACCAGCTGATCAATTCCAAAGCCTGCGTGTGCAGCGAGCATAAAAATCTGACACGCACACCACTCCGACAAAGAGATGTCCATATTGGCGACACACCCACACTGTGACAGCCAACGTTTTCTCATTAGTGCTTTACCTACAAGAAAAGGGGCATGCATTGTACGGAATGATAGGGTGAGCAAAAGAATAAGGTAATGATTTTTAAGATTTCTTACGACGAAGCTGTTGCGCTGACAATGTGTCGTCGGCATCGTTGGCGTGGTTACGCTAGAAAAGGTGACGTGGACCAAGTCAGAGGGGAGAGGGTCTCGGAGGGGAGAAGAGGAAAGGGAAGTCACATGATCATAGTAACGCAAAACGACTGATTCAGAGTGGACTAAAAAGTGGACACGTGATGGGGCTATTGTAATGCCGCAAGCAAGCAAGTGGCGTTACAAAATATGATGACGTGTCTCATGAATGACGAAGGGTGACGAGAGCGTGAAGTATGCGTCAGAATCAGCCAATCAGGATTTACCTTATGGTACTTGAGTAGCGTGGGCAACAGCTTAGCTGTCTGGCGACTTTGACGATCTTGATTTGGCTGGAACGTTTTTTTTTAGCGCAAGCACAATTTCGAACATGGTATGGTTTAGTACATAGGGCACGTGTACATTGATTCATTGATTAGTTAGTTAGTTAGTTAGTTAGTTAGTTAGTTAGTTAGTAGTTAGTTAGTTAGTTAGTTAGTTAGTAGTTAGTTAGGTTAGTTAGTTAGTTAGTTAGTTAGTTAGTAGTTAGTTAGTTAGTTAGTTAGTTAGTTAGTTAGTTAGATTAGTAGTTAGTAGTTAGTTAGTTAGTTAGTTAGTTAGTTAGTTAGTTAGTAGTTAGTTAGTTCGCTCGCTCGCTCACTCATTCGTTCGTTCGTTCGTTCGTTCGTTCGTTCGTTCGTTCGTTCGTTCGTTCGTTCGTTCGGCCAGTGCTGCAAGCAAACCTGACAGTGCGAAGCATATTCACTATGACGACTGAGTCATCTGCTTTGTCAGCAGACCATTATCGAGATCACACTTGCCTTTTTCGTTGAAGAGGCCGAGGTTAGCGATGAAGCTGAACGGCAGGCTCGCATCAGAGTGTATCACGTCCACAAAGTCTGCGTCGGTGGGATCCAGCCGCACGGCAGGTGGCATGTGGAAAAAGTACGGTCCAGCCGGATCGAGTCCTGGAAACATTCGGCAGAGAAAACACAATAGGCTGTGAGCTCATGGTGTGAGAACAAAGGGAACGCTGGAAAGTCCCCTCCCAGAACGTATACTACTACTCGCCTGGACTTCATCGTAAAACCGATTCTACATGCTTCACTCTGTTCGTTCGCTACTGCAATGAATGTATAGTAGAACCCCGTTATAAGGAAGTATGATCGAGACCAGAAATTGGCTCGCTATGTCTGATATTTACTACAACAATCGGTGTAGGAATTGGCTCGCGCAACACACTTCTATACAAGAGCACATTATTCTGGACTGCAAACCAACTATAGATGAGGCGCACTTTTTTACTTTCTTTATTTGCGCTGTATGACAAAAATTTTCGTAACACCTTCAAATGATCAAGTATAATTGGTTCTCATTTGTGCTTGAATATTTATTTGCTTTCTATTCTATCGTTGCAGTAATGATCCTCGCCCGAAACAAGCATGTCTTTGTCACAGCCAATATCGCCGCCACTCTCGAATTTTTGTTTTGTTATATTAGTAATAAACGTAACCGTAACGAAGCATGAACAACTGAACTTGATATTAAGTTCTGTGTATCCAATCATTCGCTATATCAGGGCTAGTTGTAACAAAGTTACACTGCATTCGGTTGGATGGGTACAAGAACTTCCCCTTGTGTAATATTAATCATTTTTTCAGGTTTAACAACCCAAAACCACGATACGACTATGTGGAACACCATAGTAGAGGGTTGCGGAAATTTCACCACCAGTGTTCTTTAACGTCCAAGTAAATGTGAGTACACAGGCATGAAACGTTTTCGTTTCCATCAGGAATATGGCCGCTGTGACTGGAATTTCATCCCGCAAGTTTCGCATCAACAGTCTAGCACCATAATGAATATGCCACTGTGATGGTTCAAGTTTAGTTGATTTGGGTGACCTAGTAGTCGAATATGCGCCGAGCACTCTAACCACTGCGCGACCAATGGGCACGTTTAATATTATGTGATGATATATCAGTCTGTTTGCAATAAAACGCTGGCATCACATTCGACCATTTCTTTGTTGGTGCTTCGTTCAGAAGCACCCTGTAACCACTTCTTTTAAGGTGCTTCGCTACGACCTTTTGGAGGTGCCCTCAACACCGAAGTGAAAGGGCGGCCATATCTGGAGGAGCTGCAGTAAGCTGGTTGCTGCAACTTCCATTGTAACTAACGGATCTGCCGCAACGGGTTCTTGACCTGTTGGTCAGCAATAATTGCTTGCAGACAAAAGAAACGCTCACACGTTTCAGCGTCTCGACACTGGCTGCCTTAATAAGTACACCTCAGCTCGGCTATAAAACACTCTGATCTAGCATGTTGTGCATCTGTTATTCGAATATTGGTGTGCAAGTCCTGCAAGCCTGCCTTCGCTAAAGCGACGTGACCAGCTATGACCGCTCTATGCATGATCACATGTTCCACAAGACACTGCTTCACTTCATAAACAGCCTCAGTATTAAGAGACACATCTAATACATATATACACACAAAGTATTAGGCCTTAAGCATATCCACGATGTGAATAATTACAGGTGGGTGAAGCTCCTGGGAAAGATTAACCCCCGTACATTGCCCACTCAATCATGCAAAGACGTTACAACACGCAGGTACATTATATACAAAGTTGTTTATTAATCCCAATGTGCATGTGATGCCCATATGTATATCCATATGTATAACCATATGGATACCAATATATAGATATGGGTGTCCATACGTATATTCATAAGATATGAAGGCAGGAAAATAGGAGCAACCAGTAATCGGGGAGGTTAACCAGTCTATAGGCAGCCGGTTTGCTACCCTGCGCATGGGAGAAAGATGGGGGAGATGAAAGATAGAGAGGAGAGAAGATATTGATATTCATACGGGTCATAGGGCTATTCATATAGATATCTATGTGGATATAGATATCCATAGCGTGTCACGCTGACAGACAGAGTACTATAGACAGGGAACATGGCTCGACTCTAAGGAGCTTCGCGCCTTTAAAAAAAGTACTGGCTGAATGAACAATGAAAAATGCGACGTCTGGATCTTACTCCCATGATTGAATTACGGGGATTGTCTAAGTAGGTATACAGGAGACTGCTATAAAGCACTCAACATTACAGCGTGAATCGCAGCGTGTAAAGGGGATGTCACGCACAATTGGCGTCTGATCTCAACTTTGGCACTCATTCCTGGATCTCATGTTGACCATCTGGTTGCTGACGAGAAAAGCCTACTTATAAAGTAATCCACCATTGAAATTACCGCATAGATATGGGTAGCCTATATCGTCAATATTTCTAGATAACACTACAAACAATTATTAGGCCATATATAAAATCAGTGGTATCATTTGTGAGGAAGACATGTACTCCAGCAGTGCAATGTGCAGGCCTTTATCGCACATTGCGGATTTATTCTAAAGTGGCATAGTAATGAAGCGTTTCTTTCCTAGGTAATCATACCATACGTTCCTTGCAGCGATATGCTTGAAATCACGGTACAAATGGAGCCATTGTAGAATTACTGCCGTTTAAGATGGAATCACTTACATCTACTAAGTGTACAAATCTGTGCCATACTTTGTTGTAGGTATGAAACTGATTCCAAAATGTTTGCGTATTCGCTGCTAATTATGCCAAAAAAAATGTAATTTACCAGTGATCCTTCCAATTTTGTCGATGCGTTCTCCAGCGTAGCCAGCTATCTGTGCTCCAAGGCTGTGTCCGATGATGTGGAAATCCGCTGGAGATGCATTCGTCGCATTCTGAAATGGACAGGTTAAACAAAGTATCGTTTTGAAATCATAATTAGGCTAAATAACTACACTAAAAAGTGTGATAGAACACTCCCAAGTTAAAATTATTGCTAATGCAAACGCTTTACAAACAAACAATAAGGTTATGTCTGATGCGTAGCGAGAGCTACGTCCATTCTTCAGCGTGTGTCTCTGTACATATGAGTTTCTCGAGCGTGCGGCTTGTTTCGCCTCTGTCTCCTCGGCTTACAACTTCCTCTTGGTTTCGTTGCGATGGCGAAGCCTCGCTTGTTTACGTCTCTCTGCCTCACATTTCATATCTGCCGATGAATACCACCAAGCCTTCCTTCTATAAGTGTGATGTAACACCGGCTAATTAATAGCTGATGCAACGCGGTTTCACAGGCTCCTCCTCTGAAGTCATACCACATTGAGCGGTGACCGGCACTACCAGTGGCGATGTTTGCTAGGCAGTGACTCACTCGCGGTGCTTGCCCAAAAGTGCGACACCTGGATCTTACTCTCATGATTGAATTACGGGTATGGTCCAAGTCGGTACCGCCACCCACAGCGAAGCGGCGAGAATAAAACTAATGCAGCTCTCGCTACAAAAAGTAGAAGCATGGTTACAGTAAACATAAAGCATAAAACAAATACTTCTTCCTTACGTTGCATATTTGAAATAAAGATCAAAAATGAAAAAACTCGGCTTTGAACTCAGTGTAACTGGTACCTGAGTTTTATAGTAGGTACCTATCATAGAAAGGAGCAGTGCATCCGAGATGGTACAAAGCCAATAAGGGAAAAACCGTTGAGAGCAAACTACACAACGACACAGAAGACATGGACAAGTGCTTAACGGAACAAAGATAATGACCCATCACACCTACAATTAGCACTGAGTACAAGTGCTTATGCGTGATTCGCTCTGTCCTGTCTTCGCTGTACTATACCCTTCGATTCTGTGTAGCATTAACGATCCCGCCATCCAACTTTCTTCTGTTTTTCTGTCAAATGCCGTTATATAGCTCGTGATTTTGAGGATGTTTTATGCCTACAACCGATGAGTAATTGCAATCGCTTAGTGACTTCGTGAATTCAGAGAGATCTCACCTGCAATGTAGATATAAGCAAGGCGAGTTCGGCCCCAACCACCCTCGTGTTGGCCGTTGCCCTTGTGTACGGTGGTCCGTTGCCTCGGCTCCAATCAACCACGATCACGTTATAGTCGTCATGCTTCAGAAACTCGTCCTTCATTGTCTGTGGCAAAACAACACAACATTCATTCACTGTACTTCTCTACCCACCAGAACATGCAACGACGAATCAAAAATAAATTATGCATGTTAATTCCCAAAATTTTGGCGGTCACGGCATCATTTTCACACTACATTGCGTCTCATAGCGTGACGTCACATGACGACGTCATCACATCGTCGCTGGGTAATGGAGGGCTAACCAGGGAGACAGTGCAAAACCAGGTGAGTTGCAGCAAGCTAGCAATGCCTCCGATCTTGGAGGCAATGGAGGTGATGCAACACCGCGTGAGGGGCAGAAAGCCTTAGAAGGGATGATCCAGGATCAATAATAATGAACGGAGAGAAAAAAACGAGGTCTGTTTTCGTTTTCGAAACGTCTTAGGGAAATGCATGGGGGAAAATCTGTGAGATTTTCATTGTTACTGCCCTTTCTTTCTGCTCGCTCAGAAGAAAGTTCAAGTATGAACCAACTAGCCAGCAAATGAAGATTTCTGCATCTACGTAACACTTACATTCATCCACTTGCCGACCTCCTGCGAATCCATGAACCCGTGCACAATGACCTTGGTCTTGAGCGAGCCGTTAAAGAAGGAGTCCTCCACTGGCCCAATCATGCCGTCGGCGCTGAGAAGCTCCGGCTCGTTCGGGTTGCGCTTTGTGAACAGCAAGAACCGCGTGCTGATTCGATCCCTGTCATCAGGAAGCACGTTGATTGGTCGATGAAGCACGTGGTAGAAGCTGTCGTCGTTCTCGAAGCATCCGAGACCGCGCATACACTTGCTCGACGATGATGACGACGACGACGACGATGACGATGAAGGCGACGATGACGACGTGGGCGCGGCGCCCACTGCCGAGATGGAGATGGGACAACAGCTGACCATGAGCTTAGTGGGACGGTCGGGGCCGACAGCGCAAAACAAGAAACAAAAACGTAGTCTGAGACAAGGACAGACTCTGAAACAGTGCTTCATGAGCAGCAAACATATATTTAATAATGGTGTCGCGTGAGACCTTCATGGGTTACCAGAACCAGGATGTTTCGATTCTGCTCAACTTCTTTGCTATTTCCTTATTTTCCTCCCACAGTCTCTTTCTCTCACTCTCTATTGCTTTAAAAGTACACTTTTGGGCAAGCTGATAATGAATGATGGCTAAATGAGTGCCAAATGACCTCTAGACAAAGCGAAGAAGGCCACAATACAAGCTAATGTACCAGGTGGAGGTTCTCCTAAAACATGCGCAGCTCCGGATGGTTTTGAACCAATTCTGGACCATTCTGTGTGCAGAAGATTCTGGAACCTTAGGCATCTGCCCCAGTTGCGCAGAAAGCGACCAAAGTACTCCTACATTACTTGAAGACAACAAAACCGGAGTGACCACCTGTAGACTGCGCGTGCTCTCCCCGAGTGTGCTCGTGACTGTGTGTACCTTTCTTCTCTCTCTACAACCTCTTTTCTCCCGTTCATACCTTCGCCAGTGCAGGGTAGCAAACCGGACGTGCGTCTGGTTAACATCCCTGCCTTTCCTTGCATCTTTATATATATATATATATATATATATATATATATATATATATATATATATATATATATATATATATATATATACGAAAAGAGAAAACACGTGTTCACCAATAACTGGACCATAAATATTCAGATCTGCACATCGAGGTATCTAATCTTTGCATTGTGCAAGGTGAGGCTTTGCGCGTAGTTATTACCAGCATTCACGTTGTGAAATGATTCAACCACATCCTGTACCAAGCGGTCTCTGTGACGTGGAGGACGTCCCTATGATGTCATTCACTCTTCTAAGGTTCCAAGGGCATTGTACGTGCAGATCAGACGACGCGAAAGCTGGTGAAAGCGTTCTTCGTGTAAGCTAACGTAAATGTGTGACGCACACACATGAATGTACAATCAATTTAGCGGTAAAGTATTACCCTCTAGTTAGGTTGCCACTGAACGAATAAGTGTCATTGAAACATCCCGCTGTTATATCAGGGCTGAAAACCTATGGATATATTTATACACATTGCATGACATATGGGCGGTCACGTTTCTATATAGTGGCTTTTGGAGCTTCCGTCTTGGCTGTGGGCCTTCTTCCGGCGGAAAGAATTGAGGTTTGGCGTATACCTCACAATGCATAGAACAAATAACTGGCAACACTGCTTTCCCATCTATTCTTACAAAGCGCATGGAAATCTGACGGCATTGATGCAGGGTGATACTATTACTCTCTATAGACGAAAGCGCACAAAGGGGGGAATGGTGAAAGCGGGATTTCAATGGTCCTTTGCTAGAATGCACACCGAAAGTGAACGCGCGAGAGCCTAGTGAATGAAGGGGTGGACGTGAAGCACACATGTGTACCGGATGGTGTTCCCAATACAAGCCAAAACATACGTCCTGCTATGGTAATGTCCAAACCTGCGCTCGGACGCTAGCCTCCCCTACTGCAAGCCGTCCTTCTCTACAGTCCCCCGACCTCCAATGACAATCGGCTACTTGAAAGCACACACAACAAAACTCAGCGTCAGTTCACACTGAATAAAATCCTTGCAGCACGCGTAAGATAAATGCACACGAGCCAGGTGTTATGCCTTAAGGCGCGTCTGCATCAGAATAAAAATAATTTGCCTTTTTGTCTAAAGACCCTAGGCGCTCCCTCAGAATTTAGGCATTGGACTGAGCACTATGTGCGTAGTGCCCTTGCCGACAGCATTTGATTATCATAAACTAGAGTAAAATTTTGCGCTAGTGTCTGTGGAGCACATGGTACTTCAAATAACATAGAATATATGAGTAGCACACGAATATGGTTGAGCTTCGTTCTTTCGGCTTCATTTGGCTTCGTGTGGCTTGGAGCAGCTTTGTCGCTGAAGTTCAGCAAATGTTCAGCAGTCCCATTTCGCCACCTTGACCTTTTCAGGCGGACCATATTAGGTCAGCTCACCAGGTTCTCAACGAAACGAAATTTATAACACTTAAGTAAATAAAGCGACAAGTGAGTTTCATGACCAAAGCAAGGTAATTCACAGGAGTTGGTAAATTTACGTAATACCCATATTCCCCATATTAGCTCAACCATCACCACTCCACACTTTTCTCCACTAAATATTCTAGGAAGCTTTATAGCCTTGCATATCGTGTGCATGAAAGGGTTCCTCACAGTATTCACTAGAGTTAACTCTGCCCCGGCGATTGTTCAGAAATTTTGGGAATCATTGGTAAAGCACGTACGTGCCTCTTATTAACTTTTAGAGTTCAAAACACAATTATGGCTTCGTATTTTGTGTTAGGGCTTTTGTTTCATATAAAATGACGAGCAAACTTGAATCTTCCAAACTGATTTGAACTGATCAGCCGAAAGGGTTCAGTGGAAGTCATGTGTTATCGCTGAGCTTTTGCTGAACTTCATCTCGCAAAAAAGCTGCTGCTGGCCACATGGAGCCATATGAAGCCAGAAGAACGAAGCTATCGCTAATCTACAAAATGTCCACTCATCATCCTTCTTCTGGCTGAAACGCTGAAATGCTCCCGTAGACGCTGGCATCATATTTTCCTCCAATGCGCTATTATGAAACTCTAACGTATGCAAGGCTTTGCTTTCGAGACATCATTGAGTTCGTGCGTTTGGGGCATCATTTCGTTCTAACTCACGTGTTCGACGCAGAAGCTTCGTTGCGTGCTCCGTTATCCCGGCTCCAACCACGTGACCCAGGAAGACGACCACATAGACGTGAGCCACGAACGATGCCATTGTTTCTTGACCACCAACTTGTTCTTTTTGGCGTTCGAAAACAGGCCGGCTTCTGAAAGACGACGTTGGTGCAGCAGCTGGTCCAGCCGGCCACTCAGCTCGCACTATCTGCGAAAGTTGGAGAGCAACATAGCATCGAGCTGAAACGTCCTGACACTTCCCTCATCCTCTTTCCCCACGATTTCCCTCTTTTTTTGTGTGAGAAGGAGAAAGAGCGAAAACTCGGTTATACCGAATCGCACCAACGGAAACTGTTCGTGTATGTGAGTGGCGGCGTTATTACTTTATGTTTTCTTTTCCAAGCCGTCATTTTGGGCTGGCGAAGTGCACTGACTGTTCCTGTACACTTCCGGACGCATGCAGGTAGGGCTTTTTTCACTCATTGATTTATTCTTGCTTAACAGCGCTTACTCTGCTGTTTAGTTTGCTTGTTGTACCATGCATAGCCTCGCCCTTCACGTATTTACTATGTGACAAGCATTTTCCGACAGCCCGAACTCCAAACAGAGAAAAGGGTGTGTAAAGGGAAGTTGGCTCGCAACAGTACCGGCGTGTGTTTTCACCCATTCATTGCTAGGATTGTCACTCAGAATCAGAACACATAAACTGAAGCGTACACGTTTTCAGCAGAGCGAAACGTAACACCGGAAACACAGCCAAACTTTGTCGAAGAGACTAACGCGTGCGGCGCCTTTGAGGAAGTAGTCAGTCATGCTCAATGGTAACCACTTAATAAAATTACCGGGATCCCGGGAATTACCGGGATATAAACTTAATAAAATTACCGGAATTACCGGGATAAAATACCGGGATCGAACCCGCTAACTTCGGGTCAGTATCCGACCACCGTAACCTCTGATCCATTATGGTAGACAGTGCAGCATAGTGTCAATGGAATATCCGTAAGGAACCTATCGTCGAAGTTTTTTCGGAAGACCATAACCAACCAGCTAGTCCTATATGGTACGAATAAAGTTGTCTTGAAGTTTTCTCTGTACATTCGTAATTACCAACAGACGGTGAACAGCCACGACCCCTGAACTTTCTATCGGAACGCCACACGTTGCTAAATAATACAATATAAAATTAACAAATTATGTCCAGCATGCCCACATGTACCTACCCATTTTGTCACGGGGGTAAAAAAAGCATTCCCCGAATAAGTGAAAGAACTTGATGGCATTGTAGCACCAAAAGTAAAAGCTGCACTTTATATCTGAAACACATGCAGTTCCTAATACTCCAGAAATTGTATTCATATGTGGGCCCAAGCACGCCTATCAGCCAAAACAATATTATAATTGTATGCGACAAGTTTGAAACATATTAATTTTCATCCCTTTATCAGTGCACAACTGTAGGCGCAAGGGGCTAAGCAATACATTACAAATGATCAATATTGCCTAAACAAGGAGACAGAGGTAGATATATGGTATGAAGAAAGGCAGGGAGGTTAACCGGAAAGCAATTGTCTGTTTTCCTACTTTGCATTGACAAATGCGAAAGGAGAGAGAGAAAAGTGAGAAACAAGGAATCAGAGAGGGAGAGAGGGAGGAAGCGAAAACACACACACAATAACGTCAGAATCGTTCGACGTCGAGGTGGGTCATTCAAAGAAACTTTAAGAGGGCCTTTGTCACTTTTCGGCGTGAAGTTGAAAAGCAGCTAGTCACCGCGGCGTGCAAACATTGCAGAAAGGGACTGCCTCTGATAGCTGTACTGTAGGCACTGACAAAATATGTTCAATCGTTTCCTCAGCGCCGTGATGCTCAAACGCAACACAGTCGGCTCATCCGACGCGGTAACAAAAGGCGTTCGTGTAGAGACACCTCAAGCCACATGCCGTAGACAACGGTTGTTTCAGATCGGAATAAGCCATGTGGAATGGTAAGTCGTGGGCATGGATCCAGGCGTTACTGAATTCTCTTGCGCAAACGTTTCTCAGTCAAATCAGTAACAAATAATAACACGTGCTCTCTGCATGCGAGTTACTAACTTGTCACAAAAGGAAATGCCTTCTCCTAGTAGTAGCCCA